GGACTCCCCTTTTATCCAGGGGGGGTGAGAATTCCCCTTTCTCCATGACCTGGTGGAGAGGTGCCAAACCTTCCCCCGGGAGGTCTGGTGCTGTAGCACTTCTCCTGGTCCCCAGAGGCCAAACCAACCCCTCCCAACTTCCATGTCCAGTATTAATTGCCCCTTTTAATTGCACTCTGCATGGGTGGGGGAATCCTACAGTATTCACTGCTCTCTGGTGTTGGCTTCTGCTGGGTTGATCCCCAGCCTTACTGGTCCCTCAGGGTGGCTGGTGTCTCCTCCAAAGTGCAGAACCCCTCAGCAGCAAGGAAATGAACCAAAGCAGCCCCGAGTTGTTCCTCCTCTATTTCATCCCCCCCCCTTCTTTCTTTGTTCTTCCTCCTCCAGACCCTGTTCAACTGTGTGGAACTTAAAGCCATGGAATTAAATAATAATAATAAGAATACATATATATGTATATAGCTAGATATCTATATATTGCAGCTGAAGAAGTTGTTTGTAGCCAGGACATAAACCTGGGTGTGAAATGGCTCTGAGGGGCAGCCCCGTGTCGTGTCTCTTCTTGGGCTGGTGACAAGGGGGGGAGATGGTGCTGGGGGGAGCAAAGTGGGGCCAGACTGCAAGTCATGCCCTGCAGGGGAGCCTGTGGGGGACACTCTGGGTGCAGGATGGGGCCCTGGCTTGTCCCCTGCTGCAGCATCATGTCCCTGGGGACACGGCTGGGTGCTGCTCTCCTTGTGTCTCATCTCAGCTTTGAGCCTCTTGCTCCTCACCAGGTGCTGAACCTTTTCTTTTTTGGGGGGGCCAGAACTGGCAAAAATCAGAACAATAAATAAAATGTAAAGAGGAGGAGCCAGGCAGAGGTTGCTGAAGGCACTGGAGGCCACCAAGCCCAGTGGGAGGGGACAGTGGGAGATGGTGGAAGGCAAAGCAGGATGCAGCCAAGCTGGGTGGGTGATCCGCACCTCAGAAGGGCTCCACATAATTGCCAGGGAAGAACCCAGCAGCCTCAGCCATGACACCCTCACACCAGCCGTCCGAGTAGCGCCGGGTGACGAAGAGGAGGGTCCCGGGGGGGAAGGAGAGCTCGTTGTCCTTCTGCCGGGTGTAGGGGTACAGGGTCAGCACTGCCGGGGGGAGAGAGAGAGGATGGGGTCACCACTGCAAGGGACAGGCCACCACCAGGAAAGGCTGGAGAAGGGGACATGAGCAGACCAGGACATGGCTCCCCGTCCCAGCCCTGGGACCCCGCAGACCCCAGGGACCCGCACCCCAAGGGGCACAGGGGGGGTTTTGGGGTGTGGACACCCCAGCTGGGGCTGCCCTGGGGATGTGCTTGGCTGGGCACCCTGCAATGGGGTGTCCAGGGGCTGAGCCAGCACCTCCAATTAGCCCCAGCACCTCCAATTAACCCCAGCACCTCCAATTAATTAACCCCAGCACCTCTAATTAATCAACCCCAGCAGCTCTGACCCCCCCAACCCTCAGCTGGGGGGGCAGTGGCTCTGGGGACCAGGGATTTGAGGGGGTCGCTGCCCCCCCCTTGGCTGTGTTTTGGGGTGAATTGTGCCTTTTCCTTGCTCGGCACCTCCAGGTGCCCCCTCGGC